CCCCAAAACCCCAAAACCCCAAAACCCCAAAACCCCTTTTACGAAAGTTAAAATTGAAATTCTTCGAACTAAGATTCCTGTAATTTTGACAATTTTATGAGAAGTATAGAAATTAGAAGTGGACTAAGATGAGTCTAAATTAAACTGAAAGCTTGTTTTTGATTTCCTAATTTCCTCCTTTTTCTTGAAGTGCCAACCTTGAGCTAGCTGTAAACTCTAACTAACGTTTACAACTTATTACATGAGATATCTTGGTTTCAAAGTTGATTTCTTACTCGGTACTATATTATTTATTCCATGCAAATACATTTGATTGGGGATATCACTGCTCTGATGCTTCCACCAGCATGAGTTCTCTTCTTCTCTAGGCTAGGAGGTCGCATGTACTTCTCAGACAGAAATGTAGATTTTATTTTCATTAGCTCAAGATCTTTACTATCCCCTATACATTAGGCAAGATGTTACCGAATCAGGTGGGAGAGTTCTCATATTTATCTGATAGCATGTCAATATTGGTCCTAACTTTCTTTCTTTCATCCCTTCTCTTCTTCAGGTTCCAGTAGAATCTAATCATCTTCTGGGCATCCTCTTGAAGGCTTGTCTTCATGCGCGTAAAATATTTCATGTTATTGTCAAATCTAATAAATGTGAGAAAATTATAGCATAAAATTCCTTATGATTTTTGATACAATCAGCAAGGAAATTTCGAACTTTTTGTATCGTTTTAATTTATCAGGTTATGGTAAAAGTTTAAGAAAGTTACCTCCTTTTCTGAAGTTGTTTTCTGACTCAGGTATAATCCCTATAACCTCGCATGTATTTCTGAATAAGGGTCTTTAGCCGAAGCTTCATAATTTTCCATGCTTTAGGGACTAATCAGGTTCGTCTGTATCTTTTCCAATAATTTTGAAGGAGATTAGCTGCTTTATGTCTCCTTTCCAAAGTTTTCAGGTACCATTTACGGTACATAAATCTTCTAAAACAGCACTGAATACGTATAACCGCACTGAGGATGTAATCTTGCTTATTCTTAGCTAATTCAATCGTCTTGTTCTTAATCTTAGAAATTATAACTCTCCTGACTTTATCTGGAGATTTATGATGCTTTTGGGATAAGTCAATGCTCAAATTTTGAGAGAACAGATTCTTATCAACCCCAGATCCATGAAGTATACTGACCTTCTTGCAGTTTTTAAGTTTATTTACTAATGCTTAAATTTTGGTAGTTTTTCCTAAATAATTGTCAACACCAGACTTCATAAAGCTACTTACTTTCACTTCTTCTTGAGAGTCTTGAGCTGTTTTATTTTATGTTTGATTGATTTTATAGCAGACACAGGAGGAGATTTATCCCTGGAGAAACCTCCATCAGAAAGTTTATTCTGGCTCATCGGGGGGAAGGCATTACGTTTACCTTTATATTTCCTTCTGGTATCAAGTTGCCCAAGACTCATGACTTTGGTATGGATACTGGGGAGATTTCTAGAGACCTCTATTGGATTTACCAGTTTATTTCGAGGCGATAGGACACCAAAAGTTGTAACTCCTCTCTCTTTAGTTGATAATATTATGGTTTGGTTCTGTATTTTTAAGACAGATCTCTGCTCATTAATGGAATGTTCTTCTTATTTTTCAATAAAATGCTATTTATTATCCTTTCTTCTCTTGAATGAATTACCAGCTACAGAAAATTCAACCTTTGAAGGTCTCTGAAGGGGTTGTCTTCTTGGGGAGCAGGATTTTATAGCTGGGAACATTTATTTTAGTTAATAATATTTTCAACTTTGTGAATAATTTCAGGGGTTTTGGGGTTTTGGGGTTTTGGGGTTTTGGGGTTTTGGGG